GATTCTTTTATTTTACGTTCAAGGAATTTTTAATATCACGTTCAAGGAATTTTTAATATCACTAAAGTGCATTTCTGTTATTACGTTTAACACTTTTTAGATTGCTTAATAAAATCTATATGCATATATGTATATATATGAGACTACGCTGGATAAGATCGTAGGATAACATATATATGTCACTATTATTAATACTTCCATGCGATTTTTAAATAATACCCGCGTTCAAACGAAGGGTGTCAAAATTTCATAACAGTTACAAACATTTCATCGACGCTACACGCGAATTTCGAAATTCTGCATTTTGATACCGAAGCTAAAGTAATGGTAGTCGGCATGTGAAGATTGGCGTTATCGGAAAACAGTATTGATTTCTCCATAATCATCCTAAATGTAATCCTACGAACTTATGATTAAGTGATATGATATATATATGTCATCATACATCCGTATATAATCCTACGAACTTATTGATTAGTGTGATACGTGTGTGTTGCCTACATAAACTTATTTCTTATTTACTTATTAAATATTATATAAAGCCCAAAACAAACTTCAAAAAAGAATGAAAAAAGGAATTTATAATCAAAAGAATTTCTTAAATAATTTATTTATGTAAATTAATTTAAAAATTCTCATTATCTATTTAGCAATTCAATGCAAATGATAATCAGACGGACTGACTGCCTTATGAATATTAAGCAATTATTTTAATGCTGTTAAGCATATGTGTATTGAGGAGAATCAAAAAAAAATTTTCAATTTTACCTATGAATAATATAAAATTTTACATATTGATTACCTACGTACGTATGAGTAATAATATTCAGTATACGTAACGTGTGCTGTTATATGATGCGATAAATTGTTTTCTACAATTTGAATGCTTCAACCAACAGTGATAAGTATTTGGTATTAAGTACAGCAAATACACAACACGAACACGCACACGACGAATACAACGATAACTATTTACGCATATACTGTACCGCTTGCATTTAATTACCATACCTTAGCTCCATACGTAACGAACAGTAACGAAAATGATAATAGATGCTTGGAAACTATTTCATTGCCATATGTAAGCAATGAAAAGAGCTTGAAAATACGATGTTTACTGTTGGTGAACCGTAAAACATCACGCTTGGCCTTACGGTTTGATTGATTTTCTGTGCAGCCCGTCATCCATACAGAAACTCATATGATTTCTATATCGCATAGACACTATATATATATATATATATAATACCTATTTGTTATGTTAGACAGAAAAGCAAACATCAATGGATTGAGTAAAGATTTGACGACTGCTTCTATGTTTGGAAGTAATTTCGCTTATCACGTTTGCAATTCCATGCTAATGCATATTCATTATATTAGAGCGATATTTAAAGCAATCTATTACGTGAGATTGTGTTGTGTTATAAAAATTGTTTCCAGTTTTACGAAAATTAAGGATTTGTCTCACATATGAAAAACACATTGTGATACTTTGTTTAAGAATTTAAGAGTGATTGCTAGTGTAAGCAAATTGCCGCAAAACATTACAAATTTGCGATAATATCTTAATGGACAAATCTGCGGCAAAACAAAGTGAAAGTAAGACGATAACATGTGCAGGCACCAATCTTAAACTATCAGATATAATTGAAAGTCGTGCGAATTTACTAAAGAAGAATAGAAAATGAACAAAAAAAAGAAAGTGACAATAATACGAAACAGCGATGCCCTACTTTTTTTTTGTTTCTTCATGGTTACGAATTGTGCTCAGAAATGTTGCTGTAAACCCGATCATACTAACAATACCTTTGATATTAGATGGCAGCGAACGTCATAACTTTACAGCATTAACAAAAAATGATGATCTTACTTATGGTATGGAAGAATTAAATTTATCGCACGTCTAGACTGGGGAACTGGATTTTCTCATACGAATAATTCTGTGTACAGATATGAATGAGCCTTTGAATGAAGACGGCATTTCTGATTTTAAGGATTGATGGAAGAGCAGATTCTAAAGTCCTTGCCGGTTCTATATTCGGTTGTATTTAGGATTGTTGAAAACTTATCTGGCACGGTTTTTGCTAGCCAACTTTGAGGGATGATCAGTGTTGCTCTATACGTTGGTATCACGCGTCATATGGCGCAAGACGGTATTTTGCGAACTTTTATTGTCTTGAGTTGGACTTTAGCTTGAGAAGACAACCACATTTTCCTTGGAATATTATGTATACACATGGTCAAAACATCGATATGATCACAATTCCTCTTCCTAAGATGTTTCTTCTATCATAGACTACCTGATGTTAACATATATTCCATTAAATCATAAGTTATTCCTCATATCGAAATCGCATTTTTTCTTTTTATTTCATGAACTATACGCTAATTGTTAATCGATTAATACTTTTTTATGCACGGGATTAGTTGACTCAATTACAAATCGAAGGACTGCTCTTAGATGTTATGCTTTTTCTTCTCACCGCAGTGAATCACATATTGTTGATTTCCCCAGCTTCAAGAGAAGAAAAACAACTTATTCTGTCGGTTTTCCGCCTAACGCCGACATCTGTTATGAATGCTTAATCCGAGTATGTCCCGGCGACAGCCGGCTTCCTGACCAGAACAATCTCACATCGCTTAGAGAGTCGTAATATCCCTATAGAGCCAGATATGTCAAATTGTGTATGACCTAAAGTCTCCCCACCTGGTCAAGGCAAGGCCTATGAAATACGCACCAATCTCACAGAGTTTCGTCGCACTCATTCAAGCAGTCTGCAAATGATGCGGCTCTTCCACGCAAGACGGATTTTTAGTTGAGAATGCTGACGTTTGTTGTACTCACAGTTCGGTTTATAATGCTTTTGGTTTATCGTCCTTACGCAGTAAAAATAATTCTAACATCCGCATTAAACGTAATTTAACTGCTGAATTTATATACAGATCCTAGCCATACATTTTGAATACCCACAGAAAAGGCTATATATAGCAATGCCATACTCAGAGTCAAAATAATATCTCTCTGGAATAAAGACTCAGCAATACTCTAAAAATGTTAGACTTCTCTAGCAGCTGGCTACAGCCTGCAAGCAGATGACTTCTGAGGTTCTCGACGACTTCTTTAGAGATCCTATTACCGAAAAGGTTTAACGTTGCGTTGTAACTTGATCCTGACGAAGCGTGAATAATATGAAATATCACTTTTTGTATTTCAATTAAGAAAAAATGCTGATAATAATTATATTGACCGCCTTTAATATATAATAATTACTAATTGACATATAACATTTATGATTGATACATCATAGTAATTATCGAAAAAACACTAAAATCATAGGAAGAGCATAAGTAAAACCCTCAATGTATGATAGGAGGGGAAAACTAAGCCATTGACTTATTAAAAACGTATGAAATCCAAGTATCATACTTTCAATACTTTTGGGCAAATATGGCGACACCGTCAATTATTTCTGTTTATACTGTTATGTCCGCACGCTTACGTAAGTGTAGTAAACTGTCAGAAAAATCATTGCGGCTGACGTTCTACCCTATCCGTACAACGAAACAAGTGAAAACATTAAAGTGGGGCAAGGCCGACTATGAGATACCCTACACCGCTTCAGCTAATGCAGCTATTCGTTATAACCTACAAATTATTTTCAAGCAAAGGTACACTTTTCATGAAAGTCGGGATACATGTGGAGAAATTCAAAATATACACATACTTGGTACAAATTCGGTAAGGTTGATTTCTATGTCAACTTATTATTATGAACTAATTTTCACCATCAAGTATTAAAAAGTATGCCTTTTTTCTATATATAAAGTTTCAGTTTTCGTAGGAATGGTTATGTGCGAGACGGTTGAAAAAATTACCCTGAGAGCGAATTTTTCCGAGAAATTTTGAAAATTTCAATTTTTTCTTTGCAATGATTTTTCAAAAGTGGACCGATACAAACCATTTTCAATGGCGTTCGTTTTTGGGTCAAAATACATCAATGCACCAAATCTGATGAAAATATGACGAAAATTACGACCTGTAACTGAAACACAAATTTACATGGACAGACAGACAGGCAGCCTTAGATCGTTATAATAACAGATGGGTCTATATTAAGGCCTTCTGCTTGTTACATATACCCTGCACCACAATTGGTGTGGAGTATAATGAGTCACAATGTGTAAACTTTTCCGCAAGACTACCTTTGGCCGATCGAGAAAATCCATAAAGGAAATGGAGAGAAGGACTGAAATGGCATTTTCTGCTTCCTTCTAATTTTGTCTTGTTTCATTCTTCTGAAGCGATCAAAACATGTTTTGATACTTCGAGAATCTCAAAAGACGAGGAATTCTTCCGAAAGCGAAGTTTATATGTTGACATTACGATGGAGAAAAGTGATGGATAACGATGGCCGATAATTCGAACCGTTTACCAGTACCGAGACAACTCCGGCACTTAATAAATGCCAACAAAGCGAAAAATAATTCGCTAGAAGTCTAAGCAAAGGGGACAAAAAACTTCTTGCAATGAATTCAATTTGACGTAAATGCCTTTTAAATGACTTTAAAATAATTTCGTAATGCCCGTTATATTCACTACGCAAGTGAACTTTACAATAGAGTCAAGTAGAACATTATTCGGTCTATGAAGCATCATTATGAACATAAATGTAATTATTATGTATTATGCGAACTATTTATATAACCTATGGGTAGATTTTGTTTACAAACTTAAATAACACAACAACAAACACATACAACGACATCTCTTTTTCCCTCTCTCTCTCTCTCACTCTCTCTCTCTCTCTCTCTCTCTCTCTCTTTCTCCCCGTGTCTCTTAAGTTTATTTGAACAAAACAAATAAAAAATTACATACCTCGGTACATAAATACGTGTATACATAGAGTCGATTAGAAGAAATAACAAAACAAAAAAAGCAAAAAAAAAAAAAAAGGCAAACAAAAAGTACAAAAGGATAGAAAGGAGAGACTGAAACTTACCGTCATCGAGTAGAAAGTCCACAGTAACGTTTTTGAAATTCACTTGAAAAAATTCCATAAAATTACGAAAGCCTTGTTGCACATGCATTCTATTGAGCAGTGCGGATGGCACTAATACACCCACACGTTGCTCGTGCTGGTGCTGATACTTGTGCTGTTGCTGTTGCTGTTGTTCTTGTTGTTGTTGTTGTTGTTGTCGTTGGTGCTGTCGTTCTATTTGTTGTTCTTTTTGGTGTTCTTGTTGGTGTTGTCGCTGTAACTTGATTGTATTGGCCGTGTGACGATATGAACGACTACCATTACCACTATTACTACTCATGCGATTGCTGTTGCTGTGTAGCATTGACGATGATGGCGAGTTGTGTCGAGATTCTGATGATGAGGCTGACGTTGTTGACGTTGATGTTATTTTGTTAGCTGGCATTAATATGGATGCTAGAGACGAAAGCAATGGCGATGGTGTTGGTGATGGTAATGGTGATGGCAATAGCGTTGGTGAAGATCGCAATTTATATTGCGGCTGTTCTTGTTGTTGTTTTTTTGATTTTTGCCATATAAAATCATTGCTTAATATAATAGTGGAACTGGGAATGATTGTTGTTTTTATTGTTGCTTTTTGTTTGTTTGCCATAAAATGTTGTTGGTTTTCAACGTCTCTCACAAGTGTTGTCAGTTTATGAGCTGATAATATTTTCAGGTCAATACCAGCAGCAGCAGTCATACTATGCACGTCACTCGCCTTGTTATCCTTTGCATTAACGTTCTCGTTCTCATCGTTGTTGTTGTTGTTGTTTTTGTTGTTTTCGTCATCATTCTTATCAACGTTGTAATAGTCGTTACTGCTGTCGTTACGGTTGTCGTTGTCATTTTTATTTTTATTTTTGTTTTCGTTTTTATTTATACTTCCCTTCAACCTAACATATAAGCTTTGGTTATGCTTCGATAATTTTTCTATTGATTTTCCTATATTTAAATCCTTTGCTATTCTTTCATTTATTGTTGTTATTGTTGATACCTGTTCTATATGTTGTTGTTGCTCTTGTTGTTGCTCTTGTTGTTCTTGTTTGTTATCTAATGTTTTCATTAATAATGACACTTCATTCTTTGTTAAGGTATCTTCTAGTTTATCTATTAATGTTGCTGTTGTTGTCCTTGTTGTTGTTGTTGTTGTTTCTAAACTATTTTCCACGTTTCGAAATATTTCACTTGAATACAATTCTTTCACTTTTGCGAATTTCTTTATATCTTTATTGTTTTTATTGTTGTTGTTGTTGTTGGTGTTGTTGTTGGTGCTGTTGTTGTTGTTGTGTTTGTTGTTGTTATTGTTCTTGTCGTCGTCTTTGTCATAAACTATGCTGACAGTTTCTGCCTTAATCGTAACAATTGCTGATGCTGGTAAAACGTTGCATTGGTCGAGAATATAGAAGAAAGCTGTCAACAGCAGAAATAATTTACTAAATTGACAGATTGTTAACTTCATTTAGATGCAGCAAATTTTTGTATTTTCTCTCTCTTTCTTTTCGTTTCTTACGTTCATTCACTTTGCTTTATACTAAAGCTTGAAGAATACAAACTTGAAGAATAAACTGAAGTAAACATATAAAATAAACAATTATTTCGCCATTCGCAAATATCTTCTTCTTATTATTATTATTATTATTATTTCTGTTCTTGCTATTTCTGTTGCTCTTGTTATTGTTATTGGCTTTATTTTAATTTAATTACATTTGAATCTCTGTTAATTTACGAAAAACATTTCCTTCTCCTTTTGCCATTTAATTGCCAACAATATCCTATGGTCTGTCGTTGCCAGCATTTCACTATATGGTTATTATTGTTGTTATTGTTGTTCTTGTTACATGTTGCAAAAGACAATTGATGGCTGGTTAAGCTGCTGGATACATTTGGCAAAGTTACAAAATATTTCGCTTATAATTTAAAAGGATTTTAATAGTTTTTAATATTTAAAGCTCGTCTTCTTGTTTTTTTTTTCTGTTTTTCTCTCTGGCTTTAATGGTTCGGAAATATTGCTGAAAAAATTAACAAGAAAAATAAATATAAAAAGTCTCGTTATAGTCAAGCGTAGAAATTTTAAAAATTAACTCAGAGTAAATGCAGCTTAAGAGGCAAAAAATTTGTTCTTCAATTTGCCAAATTTTTTTTTTTGCAAACATAATCCTTGCACTTATTAAGATCTCTCAGTTACATAGTGTATGTACTTTATAGGGAAGACCAGTTAGGACTTTTATATTTTTACATAACATTTCATTCAATAAATTCGTAAAAAAAAAAAGAAAAATGTTATCTCAAAATTAAAATGAATTTGGGAATAATGCCGATATCTCTATATCATCCCGTGAACTTATTGAGCAATGTATTACGTACTCAAAATCTGATTTGCATTTTATTATTAAAAGCATATAATTAATGGCAAGCACAGTAGATTTTCCTTTGGCCGTAGGCATAGCAAGTGCTCCACACAGCCACTAGGCGATTGCCATCACCTTCCTATCTCTAAGTTGAATTACCATACCGCCTGCGATTAATCGAACAGATAGGTATCAGATAGAATTATAAAGCCAGCATATGCGAGTTCAAAACTTAAGCACGGTAGAATTTGCTTTGGCTGTAGCCATGGCGAGTGCTCAATTACTAAAAACAAGAGGAATAAGGAAAAAATTTTAATCTCGATAGACCATAATGTTGAATATGTGTGTCCGATTTTTTCCTTTGCACAGGTCGTGTAGAATCATCTATAGAATGGAAAGTATTTATTGTTGTTGTAGTTGTAGAGTCTATGCTTTCAACTCCCAATGTGGTAGACTTCGCCTTGGTGATAGCTACAGTGAGTGCGTAGTCGAAGGCAAAAAATTTAGCGATTGTGGACACACAACCACTAGGCGGCGGCCATCATCTGCCCATCCCTTTCTCTTTTCTCACTTCTTTCTAACCGTCACCGGGCTACGCGGGCAGGGTTCTTTCGCGGAGTGATCGACTATATGAAAAAAAAAAAACTCTAAAAATAATTTTCCACTCCAAGTCCGTAGCCCAACACTCTATAGAACTTTCACCTGAGACTCTCCGATCCTTGATAGTATTTTACCTGCGACGTAAGGAACCATATTTTTATCTAGTAATCCCATTAAGGTTTATGGTATGTGGCAACGCCCTATAGTTAGATTACAAAGCACGCACAGGTTGAAAATTAGATAAAGCGAATTTTGATAAATATGAACGCATAAATAAAGTGAGAGAAAAATACCCTATAACATCCTTGTAACCCAAATCTAGGAATAAAATTTTTACAAGCCCCAGTTTCACTCGCAAAGTTCTTCACTACTACATACTCATCAACTAGTTGTAGTACCCGTAGAATGATACCACAGATCTAGAGCTAGCAATGAAGAATATCATCTATCGATACAATGGTGTCACATCAAGGGAGCTTCTTTTTGGTATTCGATAGAAGTGAAGGCTAAAGCAGATGATGTTTTAGAGAAGGGATCGGAGCTTCTAAGCAAAATATAGACTGAAAGGAACCTGCTACGGCAAAGATCTGCGCAGAAGACGTTGAAATGCGACGATTATAATAAGTAATCAAAAGACCGTAGTCGTGTTTGTGAAGTATGTAATATTGCGGATGATACGGTAGTGAAGAATATTGTGGGTGTACGAGCTGCTTGAAAAAAGCTCATTCCAAGGCATAAAGATCCCTGTTAAAGTTTCCCTTAATTGCAGATATGTGTTGAAGATGGATTTTAGATAAATCACGTATGAAGGAAGACGAGTAATACTATATATTGGTTGACCGTTTCATTTACGGTTGCTGAGCAGAATAACCGAGTTGTAGTAATCCCTCAGAGTTGCGCAATAAACACAAATAAGCAAAAGAAATAAGTTACAATAAGCAATTGGAACCTACGGGACTACGGGAGAATAAGATCTTGGACCTACGAACTACGAAATTATTTCAACAAAATTTCGCTTTGGCTGAACCAACCAGTGGAATGTAAAGAATCCACGTATATTACGAGGCAAGAGCGAGTTGCAGTTTCGATTTTCTATACGCACACAGCGTGCCATCTCGTTATGAGATTGGGAGGGCGTCGAATTTTAAAATTAAACGTATGTTATGTATGAACAGCCGTCCATATGCAAAAGAAGAAAACCGATTATGTACGAGCTCTTCCGACGTTTTCATACGGAACTATGCCTCAAATCAAATTCATTGGAAATTGTGAAGCAAACACTTTTCCAATTAAGGACATTCGAGTAAAGCCATCGTTTTGCACAAAGTAATCTCTAATAATAGCAAATAACAACACACAGTCACATCACAATTGAACAAACCCGATCCTGAAATACACTACACACAGTTTTGGCTAACAGAAGTTTTCGCTTCTTCCCAAGGACAGATTTAATTTCCATAAGAAGCTTTAATGAGGTAGAGGCCAAAAAATGAACTTATCTGATCCAGTTAGTTTTTATATCAAATTCTTTTTATGGACCAATTTTTATCATCGAATAATAAAAGTCCCACCTTTTTACCAAATAAAGGCTTCCTTTTGATAACAGGGAATTAAAAAATTAGTCCATCGAATAGAAATTTTTAACCCCAATATAGTTTGCAAATGTAATTTGAACGATTCCGACCAATGGTCCGAACCAATCCAATTTTAACAGGGCTTATCCTTGGATCAAAATACATGAATTCAGAAAATTCTGTTAAAATATTTGAAAAATTATTACGTGCAAACTGTACGAGGCGGACAGACGGACAGACGGACAAATAAGCTTAAATTAATGCAGAACCATTTTCAAAAATTGATCGGTATAATGAAAACTGCATCTAACTTCGACATTCATTCGTGTTATATACATTCGTACAAACTTCTGGTACCACCAATTGTATAGAATTTAAATACAATACAAAAAAAAAAAAAAAAAAAAAACTAATTAAGTGAAAGATATTAAGTTTAATGCACATGTACGTAAGCTACCCAAACCTCAAAAATCATGTAACGAAAATTAAGCTAAACGAACAAACTCTTGGGAAATTCTCATTTATATCTTAATACACAACCAAAGGTTATGTTTTTCTTTTCCTTTTATTTATTTATTTTTTTTCAAAAAATACTTTGAAGTTGAGTAAACACACGTTAGTGTAACCATTGGCTTTTGATTACATAGAAAAAAATCTTTAAATTCTCTCTAATTTCACTAACAACATTTTTCGTTTCATGTGTTTGCGATGCGATGCGATGCGATGCCGTACGATCACATGTTGCTCGAGATATTTTTTACTTTATATGCTAGATGTGCGCTTTAAAATCTCCTAAGGTTTAAGGAAAGCGTATTATGTTTGTTTTGCCTTTTTTCCACATATCAATCCACACATAGATTTGCATATGTATGCGATTTTAGGTACATTGGTGTTTTTCAGTCGTTGAATTCAAGGACTTTCGGTATTTTGGTTTTCATATTTCTATTTTTTTTTTTTTGTTTTTGTTTCCTTCTTTTTTGCTTTTTGTTAACGCGTACCCATGCATCTTTTTAATGCTTTAGGTTACTCGGTTACAATTTTTCTATTTCTCTCTGGAGTTTCTTTGGAATATATCTGTGTGTGTGTGTGTGTGTGTGTGTATGAACGCGTCCGGGTGTAGGTGATTTAAAAAGAGGAAATAGTAACGTTCATAAGTAACGGTGCATGTGTGCCTAATAATTTACATTCTGCCACAAGACTGAGATTTTTCAAGACATTTTTTTTTTTTTTAGTTGATTTAATAAACAATTTTTTTTTTTTTTTTGTAATATGTGCATTTCTAACCGTAATCTTATTAGGCATCATATTGAGATTTTTAAAGATTGTGGAAAATGGAGAAATATCTTTAGACTTTATTTACATGAATAGAGGAGTTAATTTGTCTGTCTGTCCTTCCGTCCATCTATTAAAATGCCATTTATGGTTTTTTGAATTTTGTCAAAAAGATCAAATCTTATAAAGGAAATTTTCTCTGCCTTTCTTGTACTTTTTCTGATCAGCCGTAATGCAAAGATAGAAGAAACCCGTTTAGTTATTAGAAAAAGTCGCAAATTTCCAAACATCCTCTTCAAACCTCTTTAAGTAATAACTGCGTTTTCTGTTGCGTGTTACTTCTACATATAAGAATTTATTCGTATTGGGACCCTAGTATCATGACCATGACAGAATTCTTACGCCTATGTAGCATGTTACTCTTTCAATATTGCTATGAACGATATACCAAGTAAAATAAGTTGAGAATATTATATTTCAGTAATTGTTTACATATAAATTGGTATTTATTATATTTTGTTTTATTCACGCTTACATAGCTTATTATGCTGTTATTACATATGACAAATTTAAAGATCATAGCAATTCCTTACGGTATATTTTTGTTTACAAAAGCAACAAACTCGTAAATTTTTATTAAGACAACCGTTCCAAAAGCGTATTTCCGAGATATAAACTTCCGGGTGAACGACGCTTGGTAGCTTGTCAGTTTTAATGAATTGTAATCAGAGGACGCAATGTGCAGGAAACAGCTTAAGTGTACTATACACGCATTTCTGCTAGTCTTGGTTTGCTAGCTTGAGTAGACTTGCTGATAAATAAATCGCCGTAAGTTATAACGGTCCTCCATAGATCATAATGACGATAACTTAACCAATGCTATAAGCGTACTAACGAAAGATTTCTTGTTAAATTTGTAACATTTGCAAAAGATTATTGCATAAATTCTTTATCGATATGATTAAATTGGATCACGTGTCTGCTTATCTCTCCACTGTGCAATAAAATGCTTGAGAAAATATGAAGAAATATTCAAAAGAAAATTGAAGGAAAGCAAAACGAACGAAAAAATTACATTTAGTTGAAATCGAATCTTTTGATACCCAGCACTTGTTTGCATCTTTAAAATTTTTCTCATCCGAAAATATGATTTACATATCAATTTTAGTCTTTTGTATAAACTCTACTTAATTGACAATAATTTTAGATC